AAAGAAGGAGGTTGCAAGTAAATGCCACTTCATCCTTTGACCAGTCTGCTAATGCAAACGAGTGTTTCACATTAGATTGACATTTGGGATGTTTTCAGGATTAGGCAAATTCTTGCCTCCCCCAAAGGTTAAATCGTGTTTTTATTCCGCACAATGCTTCTAAACTGGAACTTTCTTCTGTTATGCCTGAATAAAAGGTTTAAGCTCCCAATCACCTGTAAAATCAAGAAACTCTTATGCCTTCACAGGGGCACAATATGGAATAGCAGTGAAAAAGTTAACTAAACCCATCCCTGCTCAATTCCAATAAAAAAAAAAAAAAAAAAGATAAAACAGCCTCAGCAGTGATCATAGCACTCAGTTGAATGCCGAATCCTGAATACTCTTGTCAACAGTAAGAGATAAGAATATCACAATTCAAAGTTGTGCGCAACTTGTCATTTAAGACTTTTCAGTCTGAGGGCATGAGAAGCTAGAATCCGTGAGGCTACCACTGCGTGCTTCTCCTATTCGCTGCTCCGTTTAAGCTCAGTAACCAGCTTTTAGTAAAGAGATTTTAGCAAACAAACTTCACTCAAGAAAAGGCTGTAAGTCCATAACAGTGAATAGAAACGTTACATCATTCTGAAATACTACAGAATTAGAGATGCCATTTAGCGCCAATTAATTTCCTTTCCTTCCCCCACCCCCACTACAAGCATGAGATCTGTATTTTAAAAGGTGTTAAAAAAAATTGAATCCAAGAACACAGCCTTCCACATATGAAAATAAAGCAGGTTATATTTATGGAGTTACCTTCATATTTGAGAGATTTACAAAATCTGTAATACTTTGAAGCCTGCTTGAAAGCTGGACTTTGAAACTTTCTGTTTATGTTGGTTGGTATCTATTTATCCACACCCTTGGTATATATACAAATACATGCCAGCTGTAAATATTTTTTCCTCAATCTTAAGATCAAGCAAATATTATCTTAATATTATATCAGTTAAACTTTAAATATTAACTGGCTGGAAAACAAAAACATTCACTGTTTATTACACAAAGAACTATCTGATCTATTACAGAAATAACATAATCTCATATGAAGTGTCTCACTTGACTTATTTGCTAGTGGAGATTTACTTTGCATCCTTAGGAAGTGAAATAACAACTCTCCCTTCCCAAATATAAAGGACAGATACGCAAAACATCTAGTCAGAATAGGAAAAAAATACCCTAGCCACTTCCAGAGTTGAATAGTAGATATTCAGGGATAATTCCATGTTAAGTATTTTTCCTGGGTAATACTGAAACCTGCATATGTCCAAATTTCAGGGGTAAGACTAACCTAGAATAAGGCGACGTTTTCATGTACTACACTGCTTCTCCTGAAGAATCAGGAGACATCTCTGTACAGTAAGTAAGATTTGAAGAGATTTATCATGATCCTCATATAGAAAATAAGGATAGCTGCAGCTGTTCCAGCCCATCCATCAGAAGGATTCTGAGAAGAAACTACCTTTCCAAAAGCACCTATCACATATTTTTCTGATTTGGGTTGAGGAAAAGCTGAGATGGACAGAAGCTATAACTCTTCTCAGGAGCTGACTCCTGGTTAACAGCTTTCTCTGATCTTCCAATGGATGCAAAAGATTTTAAACCACGCTGCAAAATATTAGACTAACATGGCTGCACCGATAGCCATTCCATCAAACAGGTGATCTGACTTGCACTTCACTGAAAGGTTCAGATACTTAACAGCTTTCCCAGAACTGCAGGGCTCAGATTTAATTTTAAAAAATTTGAAAGTGAAAAATATTAATCAGGTCACAGATCGAGAACAGTTTATTAAAATAAGAGTGACATATTAATATATACATACTTCAAAACGTTAATCAACTTCTGTGAGCACACAGAAATACTTAAAAGCTTGATTTTTACGCATTTTGAGCTCCTACAACTCAAAACACAACCAGTTCTGTCTGTGACATTTAGGATTGCCAAAATGCCATTGTAATTTCAAGTGTTACAGGCTGTTAGACGTTGCAATAGCAAGCCCAGTATCTTTGGTGCTGTACGAAGATGAAGACCTCATCCCAAACAATTGCTTCCCCACTCAGAATCCAGTGCTAACGGCAGCAAACAGACACTTCTCCTCACAGGTTTAGGAATCTCTGTTGTTCACCTGTTCTTTTGATTTGGAGGAGCTTAATTTGATTCTGTTTTCAGTTACACATGGGCTGAAAGCCCACCCACAATCTCCTCTTTCTCCTCCTCTCCAGTTGCTTTCCATAGGAACAGTTATTACAGTAGAAATGTTAAATGCTACAGGAACAGCTAGTAAGAGTTGGCTTGAGAAGTCTAAACTGCCAGTAAGTGTTCTATGCTTAATATTTCACCACAGGGTTTAGTTCTTACAGATTAATGAAAGATCAACAATCCTAGAGTGCCAAGAAGTATTACTGGCTTTTAAAATGAAGACTTTAATCATTATGTCAGAACAGAAAAAAAAAAAGAGAGAGAGAAACGCAAAATAATGGCTTGTATCTGCATGCATATCCAGTTCTCAATTTTTGTAAGTGTTTCTTCTTTATTGCTGACTACAGAATACATTATACATGCTAAACATTCTCCAATGTACAAGCTTGCTCAAAGTTTCTTTCAGCATGAGTTATAAAGGGTAGAACAGGAAGCCCGTCTATAGCAATGGTGGCTCAAAACAAACAAACAAACAAGCACTCATACACATAGGAATACTTGTATTTCCACAGCTAGTGGTTTATAGTCTCAGTGTTTGCATAGATTTCTCAAAAGACTAAGTACAAATAGTATGATTAACTGTAGCAAAATACTAAAGGTAAATCCAAGCAACAACAGGGATTGCATACATAAAAGCTATATACACAAAAATCCAAATGAAAACACCTCAAACAAGCTGAAGACAAATAGTATTTTTACCTAAACATTTAAATTAAGTTTCACCAGAAAGAGTCTCCTTGTTAGTCAGGGAGATATCTAATTTTTTTTTTTTTTTTAAAACCTATTAGGCTTTATTCATTGCTGACTTTCCTAAGAAATTCTCTCTCTCTTCATCAACAAGTGAACTTTAACAAGTTAAACTTTAAGAGAAGGATGGCTACTGAACGTAAAAGGTTTGAAAATCACACCTAGCTAATGAGAAGGTCATTTTTCTCAGCTTGCTCTGACCAGAAACCCTTCTCACCTAGCTCTTCTCTTTCTTTTTTGGTAGGGCAACACACAAAGAAAACGCATGCTTTCCCGCTACAGCCATATGTCTACAAACAGCCTAGACTTACTTAATCCTGAGAACTAGTAGAACCTCCTACATTTAGTGACCAAAGTTAAACACACTTACGTGCAAATTTAGATACTTATATTTAGTGATCAGCTTCCTTTTTTAAAAAAAAGTATTTAATGAATACATTGTTTTGCTTCTCAAACACAAGGCACTACCTGTAAAATAAGCATTCTTTTATACATAATAGAAGAATACTGTATAGGCAAGGCATAGTTCTTCTTGCATGCTTGAAAACAATATTCTGAACAGGTGCTGAATTTAACTTTACGAAAAATCTATGCTGCCTGATAGCACCAGAGATCAGTTTGACCAATTTGCAAAGATTAAAAAAAAAAGAAAAGAAAAGGGTAAATCAAGTATTATGTAATCAGAAATCCAGGAAAAAAATGCAGTTTGTCCATCAATTTATGAAAGTACTTTCAATTAAGAATTACTGTAATTCTTGTTTTAGATAACAGTGGTTTTGGTGGGGAGAGGGGAGAAGGACAGCCTACGATTTGTTTTTTTTACTGAGGAAAAAGTCTTAAATCAAAAAATTTTAAATAAAGCTCCAGCTTCCATAAAACCAGCAGTATGAAGTTCAAAGACGGTGGTGAGAAAACTAAACTAGAACTTAGTTATAACTGGTATTATAACTATAATATAACTGGAGTTATATTAAAGAAACTACTAAAATATGAGTTAGTATAGAAACAAACCCACTCCTGGCTTTATCATTATAACATATCTCCAGTTTTGCACACTGCATTTATGCATTGGGTGTGGTGATGTTCCATAAAGCAATGAGAAGGCAAAGCCTCCCTTCTCAAAGATATGAGACTTGTCTGCAACAGAAGGCAAGCGGTGCTTGCGTTTGTAACTCAGCAAACAACCTTCACAAAGACATGGCAGTCAGTAGCTCTCATATGAAATAACTGGTGTCATTAATAGCTATGCTCATAAAATCCATATTTTAGGAAGAATCCTCCTCTTCTCTCCCCTCAAGAGCAGACACGTTGTAATATTAAGTGTTACTATTGAAATAAAAGATAGCTGTGTAACCGCAACATTTTTGGGGGGTTTCTTTCTCCAAATAGGTCAAGTGTTTTGTTGCTGTTATGTTAAACTTTAAGCTTTTGATGGAAGAAAAGCCTACAGAAACAAAAAAATGTACCATTCTTACTTTCTACTGAAAGTCAACTAAGAAAAATGCCTTGAAATTGCAGACTAAAGACTAAAAATTAGTATTGCAAGGACTGAGAAGTGTCCCTTTACACAACCTGTGTTAAATCCAAGGACTAAAAGCAATTTAAGTGTGCTCTTTTAGGGTAAACGTTGCCATCACTATTGATCAACAGTCAACCATGCTATAAGCAGGAAAAAAAATCCTTCCATAGTAACTAATTTTCAAAGCTCATAATATTTTATTTTCACAACAAACAGTAATTATAAGCAAACATCTGGTTTGGAAAAGAAGCATTGGTCTACTTTGCCAGCAGACCTCAAGGTAACTGAGAGTCACTACTGAAGCCTGCATGGAAGCTCCATGCCTATGATATCTACATAAACTATTTTTAACAGTTGCCAGATATTTCTGTTAACATACATGACAAAATTCTGTCCATTATGCTTGTCAAACAGATGCAGTCTTTTGGATATATGGATTAACCATGCAAACAGGGTAATTTAAAAACTCAGTCTCCAAAACTCAGCAAGATTTTGTGCTCTTATGTAAATCAGTAAGTTTTAGAGACTGTTTTGAACACCTCCCCTGGTAGATTCCTTACAAGAGCAAGCCGTGGAATCCGATATTTACTATTGCTCAGCTCTTCCTCTGGCAAACAGTGGAACTTATCTATTGTTTGCCTGCCTAGAAAAATATATGCCTATAATATGGATTAAAAGCACTCGGACAAACCACGCAATTGGATTTTCATAAACTCAGGCAACTAAGAGGCTTGCAAAATATTCTGAAGTCCTCCCTACATGAATGCTTTTATATGCATTTTACATACTTTGAATTCGTACTCTGAATAAAAGAACTAGAAGCTTTTGGATGTGTAAGTTACGTTAAAAGCCTCTATTTCTCTGACAAGCCCATATAAACTGAACCACCATCTATTTCTAAGTTTAAAAAGTAGGGGAAAAAAATCAGCAATTTCTTCTATCAAAAGTGACTCTGCAGAGTTGTAACCTATTCCAACATTAAAATAAGCCAGCAAAACCTGCAATAGCACAATCATATCTGGGCACACAGACTAACTGAAAAGAATTACTGAATTTCGGATGCAGCAATCTATACTGAATATCTGAAAGCCTTAGGCACAACATAGTATTTTCCAAACAGTCAATAAATGCAAGTTTGGAGACAGAAACAGTTTACAGCTGTATCTGGACAATATTGAGAAGTGAATAATCCTATTTCCTGAAGCATGGAGCAGCCTAGGCAGGCTGCAGCTACCAAATGAATGGTTGACACTGACTAGAGCTAGGACTCAACAGAAGCCAAGGAGAGAAAGAGATGCACAACTGGAATATGAGTAAGTTCCACAGCAAAGCTGAAACCCCTCTTTAGACATTAACATCCATTTTTATCTTCTCTTTAAGGCTACCTGTTCACATATGTCCATTTATATCTTCTCTCACGTAAAACCATTTATAAACATTGGTTTCTACCGTTTCCCCTTCACCGTGATGATGCATACATAACACATAACACATGCACACTAGCACAGCGTAGTATAAGTTAGCAACTTCTGTTGACTTTAGCTTCTGTTCAAAAAAGCAGTATTCCTCCATCCTTCACTCATGCTTACACTTGGCTCGTACAAGTCCATTCAGGACACTACAGAGGAGAGTCATCTCATCTAACCTTAGAAGTCTATCTCAGCTGGAAACGCAGGTGAAACTCTATTGTCTCACTTCAGGCTCCCTATAAAGTCAGTGAGGAAAATATGCAATTTCAGGATAGGATTCTAATCTACTTTAAATGTCTGCTCTAGGATGAAGTGAGTCGCACAGAAACTCATGTCTCTTTTTCTGCCTAGAAGGGACTGAAGGTGAAGCCGCCCACGCTGAAGACATCTAAAGTTAGAAAAGACCCCCTTAAGTGACAAAACAACCTTTTATAAACTGACCGGTTTGTCTAATCATTCAGATTAAAATCAAACAGTTTCTCTGTTGCTTCTGTGGTTCTAAAAGCCACAATGAAACAAACGTTCACTCTGTTTCACTGTGGCTTTTAGAACTATGCAAGCAACAGAGGAATTGGGAAAACAGAGCCTTCAGTTTAACCTTGGTGGCTTAGTAGTAATAGAAAGACATAGCAGAGCTATGTCTCTTTTCCCCAGGAATAACAGCTGCAAGAGATCTAGAACCACTTGTATCAGCCAAGGCTAAAAGGTTGTGTTGCCTCACAGCAGCCAAGAACCTGAAGCTGGGATCTGGATCAGCTCTCTTTATTCTTTTTCCCCTAATCTGTAAGCTGGAAGAGCCCATACTGTTTCTTCCAGTCCCTGTACTGAAAGGGTAAATCAAGTAAATTTATATGGAAACAGGTTTATATCTGTGTGTTAACTTGTAAGACTCAATATCGCAGGGTATCAGTGAAGCCTGCCTGTAAGAGCAAACGTCTGAGAAAACACAAGTATATAAGCAAGAATACCCACAATTAAAGAGAATAGAACATAAATCCTGAAGAGGCATATGCTTAAGAGATATCTTCTAGGTTTCTTCCGTGCTACTCCAGAAACCTAGAAAGTCCAACCCAAACTCCTTGGTTTACTCCTCCTCTTCTCTCTTCCCCTTCCACAGCATTTTCATATTTGTTTAGTAATAGGCATCATTACACACCAGTTACTGACACCCAGGTTTCTGAATACAGTTGCATGCAGTGTTAAAAACACATTCTGAACAACATATTTTATCACTGAGACACTGCTGATCTCCTCCTTCCTACCCATTTATCTCCCTGTTCTTTAAACTATCCTCAGACTACAAAAACTGACTGTAGCAGAAATTAGGCTCACGTTAGCAAAATATTGCAAACAAACAGAACTCAGCAACAACATTTATGTTTTAGGTGTAAGGGACCAGTTAATCAGAGGAGTCAAGAGCCTAGCTATTGCCAACTTATTTCACAGTCTTCCTTTTTGTGGAATACTCCTCTGAATTATATGGCATCACCCTAACAGACAGAAGCAGATGAACACAGGGGATGATTTGCTCTACCAAGTCTTACACTTCTAAGAAGATTAAGCCCATGAAATACCACAGCAGATGGACTGATGTAACAGCCAAAAAGCTTTTTTGCTTTGTTTCTACTACGCTGCTATATATTCTGGCAGTTCCATATCTGAATAACAGTTTCAGATAGACATTAATCAGTGCATACATCTAAGCCAGGATTAAAAAAATTAACAAAATAAAAGCCTACTTGCCATAGGTGAGTATTGTCTCTCTCACATGGAAAAAGAAAAATAATTAAAGAAGCATTCTGAAGGCCTCAAATTATCCTTATGGCCCTCAATATGTGCCTATCAGTAGGGATCAGGGAGAAACAGTGATTGCAGAAACTTATAACTCCTATTGCCACAGCAATATCCAGCTTCTCTCCTGTGAAGAGGGCAAAACATGGCTGTCTTTACAAAAAAAACTTCCAGTTTGCATTCTCCTTTCCATGGAAAATTCTGAAAAATTAAAGTTTAGCAACCACAGCAAATGCATGCAAGATGTCTATCCGGTAACAACAGATAACTCATATAGGAGTCATAAGAAAATATCTCCTCCCATCCCTATTTTCTGGATGATTGTGACTACTCTTGCTGTACATATGCTCAGGAAGAGCTTTTAATTAAAAGAGACTAATGGGAGATGAACAATGTATGCCTTGTTTCTTCGGTAAGAGGAGGGGACACACTTCCTAGAAAGACAGACATATAGGAAAACACCTGTTGCAGCCCTGGCTGATGGAACCATAATGCATACATTTATAATGTAGGTGTAAACAGCTGTATTTCATATGGTCAACAGCTGCCCTGGAATACAAAACACAACATCAGCAGCAAATCACTTATTTCCTCAAATACAAGGGTATGGTCAGGTAAATGTAAGCTTTTAATACAAATTTTGGCTCAGATACCATATCAAAACTTGTGACTTCTTTTTTATAAAGACTTACTTAGCTGCTTTAGACTGAGTTTAACTAGCAACCTGAAGTTTTTGTTCCTTGAAGAAAATAAAAGTCAGACTAAAGCTGTGTAAAGGAAACAAACATCACGTGAAGAAAAGCTCTGTTGGTTTTAACAGAATTTCTCACATTCACATAAAAGGTACTGTTTTAGCTACTTCGTTACTCTCCCTTTGCTAGCTGGTATTTTTCTCTTCTGCACTACACGGGTGATTTTTCAACTTTGCCAAGTACTGTAATTTACAGAAAAGTTAATAGGAATACAAAAATAAAACAAATGCAAACATATTTCTGTGATACAGTACCTTATTGAGTTTGCCAAGGGAAGATATAAGATCTGCCCATTCACTTGATGATTCGAAGTTTCTCAAAGCTTTCTCAATTGCTGAAGAATAATTTCTATATCTGTAATCACCAGACAACTCCTGCTCTTCTGGATCCATCTTAGGTTCTCATAGCAAAGTGAAATTTCCTGGTAAACTAAGACACGCACACAATTATGAAGAGATAATGCATATTTAATGTCTGACATACCTAAACTATTGAAAGATTGCAATATATGTGAAGAAATACTAAAGGATCACAGTAAACAGGTCATTTGATCAAATTTCAGAACGGAGTTAAAAATAGTTTTACAGGCATGACTCCAATTCCACACTGCCTGTTTTTTGTGGTTTGGTAGTCACATTCTCCTATTTATGAAACAGGCTTTTTCTTCCATGCGTGCGGATCTCTCACACAGTAACAGGGGAGAGGAAACTATTAAGGTCTCATTGTCAACAGCCAAAGGTCGGCAAGGATTAGGGAGAAGTAAATACTTTCCATAACCTTTCAAAACACCGTACAGAAGAAAAATTGTCCGTAAAAAAGTAAAATTTGAAGCATTTCATTTCAAAGCACAACTTTTCTGAGAAATCCAGTTAAAGAGCCTCTCAGCCCACAGCAGATGGAGCTCTCAGAAGTCTGCATCTCTACTTGTCAAGCAGATGCTTGAATTGTTTTCTTCCCTTATTTCGCCAAAAGTATTAGTACTTTTTACATAAGAAAACCCAAGTTTCACAGACCTGACTTTCTCATAGTCTGCAATGCATTTGAATAAAAAAAGAACATCAAACATTTAAACTGTTTTAGAGCAACAGGAAACAGGCCTGGTTGTGTTTTAAGAACTGGAAATCATGCCTGCGCTCCTATGCTAGCTATGACACTAATTGTCCCCTGAGCTAATATCAAAATATTCTTCTAGACAGATGCATAGGTTTATGAACTCCAAGTTTATGTCAACCTGTGCTGCATCACTGAGACAGAAACACAGTTCAATACTATAACATTAACACTTTATAATGTTTCCAAAATAGATCTGGTTTTGCATGTTGTTTCCTACTGTTGGGACACAAAAATAAATCTCATCACTCTTCTATATACTCATATGAAGAAGCATTTTTAAAATGAGTTCATCTCTCATAGCTACTAAAAAATCACCAACTGAATAATTGCATATCCTTCATTAATGTTAATAAGCAACAATAATTATATATCAAGATAAGATTTTAGTAGCGAATTCTCTGAGACAGGAAAATGCTGGGTGCAGCCAAAAAAGGGAATGAATTTAAAGGCAGCTTTAAGCCATCTCTGCATTCCCTGATTGCAGGGCTCAGTCATTGCTGATATAACCACTGGATGTTGTCCAGGCTATACCCACCCCTATGAAGAAAAGCACATTGATTAAAAAAAACAGCCTAGCCCTGATGGCATTGTATGTATTGTTTTGGAGGTTTTTTTGGTGCCACAGTAAATATTTCAAAACTTTCTGTTCTTACCAAGATGTATGGAGTACTTCACAGCACAGAGTGCGTTTAAAAAAAAGCGCTAGCTTGCAAAATAGACCATTCATCTGGGATAGAGATATCCTTGCTTCAGTAAACATAAAAAAGAAAGAAAGAAAAAAGCCAACCCTCCTATAAAACCTAACAAAGTGACAAATTTGCACTATACTGTCAGTGAAATAAATACTAATCCAATATAGATATTGCCCTGAAGCAGGAAGGACAAAAATTGAACTCTTGTTTCCCTCATCTCACATGAAGACCTCAATCATTGGACTATTTGATTGTATTCATTTGCCTTAGAAGAAGGCACGAGCTAGGAAGCATCCTAATAGCTCTCTGCCAGGTCAAGAGCATTGCCACTTTTTTAAATGAGAGATTTGTCCAGATCAGTTAGGCGCTTTGCTGACAGAGCACAACAAACTTTTTAATTTGTGAACAAAGCATATCTGTGTGAATCCACTTAGACAACAGGAAATAATCAAACTACCAACAGCACCTAGATGCTCTGAACACTCTATGAAAATCATATCCTAAAGCATTCTCATGGCATTAAAACCTGATCTGCTTATATAAGATCTAATTAGATACCTGGCAGTAAGTTTTCTTTATCTGGCAAGTACATCCCCAGTTTTTGTTTTTGCTGTCTCTCAGGAAAACAAAACAGAATGTACCATTCAAGGAAACAAAAATCTAATAACATTTCAATGGAAAGAAAGCAATGTGGTTGATTCATTTCTTAAGACACTTGCTTTGCACTTTGCTGTGAAAAGGTGGGTGAACAGTGGTTTCTTCTCCAGAAGAGCTGTGATGGATTTTAATGGTTTAGGTACACGAACATCAATACACATTATACAGGTATATCAGCAAGTTTTGAAAAAATCTAATAATTACAATATGGTTAACAGATCATATTTGTATCTTAAAAAAAAAAAAGGCATTTGCCAGTGACCGTCAGAAGCCTCTTCAAACGCGTTAAGTCACAAATGTCGTTAGGAAATTGAGACACTAATAGTTACTCAGGAACTTTCAGTAGGGTTTGAGGATAGCTTAGTGAGAGACGGATGTTTTGTTGCTGATCAGGAGAGACGTCGCCTTTCTCCGCTGCTACGCCTATCGCAGGTAACCTCCGCCAAAGCCTGCAGATAGG